CGGGGGCAGCCGCTGCTGGCTCGGGCTCCCGTCGCCCGGCCGCCAGCACTCTTCACCAGGGTCGCGGCGCGCTAGGCCCTCCTGGCCTCACTCCCCCACAGTCCTGCACTCTGTCCTCCGCATCCGGGCGGGGGGGAACGGTCTCTGCACACAGATCCCCGCCCCCAAGCCCACCTCAGTCTCTGCGCGGTGCCTCTTCCAAGCCCCTCCCCCGCCCGTTCCCCTGCACGAGTTGGGTGGTGGAACCGCCACTCACACCGACCCCCAAAAGCCCACCTGTCTCGGCGCGCCGCCTCCCCTAAGGCCCCCGACGCCCACCGCCGTCCCGCGTTGCAGCCTGCCTCTGCACCCAACCCCCGCCCTCCACCCTCCGCAGCCGGGGCGCCCCGACTCCTTCCAACTTCCCCAGCGCAGCTCGGCGAGTGTGGAAGATCAAGCGCCCGGGTTTTGTTCAAGGAAACCCCCCGCGGCGCCCGCACCTTAACCGCCTTGGCGCAGGCAAGGGGTGGGGGACAGCTCTGTCCACTCGGTTCCCAGGAGCTTGAAGAGAGGCTCCGGGCAAACGCGGACACTGCGCTGATCCTCCCGGGCCCACGTGCGGGCGCCCCGTTCCCCGCCCTGCTCCTGCGCCTGGGTGGCGCTTCTCCGAAAGGGAGGTAACGCGATTCCCGGGAGTGTCTCCCTGTCCTTCCCACCTGCGCTCCAACGACCCGCCTCGGGCACCCGGCCCCGTCCTCGTCCTTGTCCCATCCAGTGAGAACACCGACTCTTCCACCCGCCTGGAGTTACCCGAATACGGGTGCGGGTGGTCGATACGAATTTTAGGCTTTAAGGGCTAGACTCCCGCGTCCCTCACCCAGTCACAGACCCAGGTGGAATCGTGCGGACGTCCTTCAGACACGGACACACCCTCAGTACCCGCCCCCCACCCCCGACACGCGCTAAGAGGGGGCTTCCCGAAGGGGCGACCGACTCGCACCCGCTCCCGCCACGGCAGCGAGGGAGGGAGCCGGAGGTCCCGCCGAGCGTGCGCGCCCCTCCCCGCCTCTGCCACTTGCCAGCCGCAGGCCTCGGGGCGAGTGCGAGAGTTAGAAGCGGGTGTTGAGGAAGCGGGGTACTCACGGTCCCACTGTCCGCCCCGCCAGCGGCTGGGGAAGCTCCGGCCGTCTTGCCTCCGTTGGCCGTGCGCATGCGTCCCGCGTGGGTCTTATTTTTATTGCAATGCCGAGTGCAGCGCTTTCTACACCCGCGATGGCTCTCCTCGGCTTTCCCCTTCCTCCAGCCCTCGGTCTTCTCTGTCCCTCTTCCTTTCCCGGCTCTGCCTCTTCCCGCCCCCTTACTCCCCCTCCCCCTGCCGGGCAATCCCAGGTCTCGCCTCCCTCCCGCGGCGACTCGCGCCACGGTGACGGGGGCCGGGGGCACCCCCGAGGCCCCACGGGGGGACACCCCCCGCGCCCAGGCGGCAGCGCCCCTCCTCCAGTTCGGGATTAGGAGATGCCAAGAGTGTGGGTGCGACGCCAGGCGAGCGCTGAGGGCATCTGCGGAACCCCCTCTCTGTCGCGTCGGCGCGCGGGGGCCGAGCGAGAGACTCGAGCGTGAGGGACGGCGTATTTGCACCTTATGAATGAAAAGGGCCGGAAGGGGGGGCGGGGGGTGTGCGGCGCCGCGCGGAGGGGGTGCTCGGGTCCTCGGGAGTCACGCCTGGGGACTGCCCGCCTCTGCAGGGCAGCCCTCTACCTTCTCCCCTGCCCCGGGGCGCCGCTCTGAGCTCTGTCCCCCCCTCGGGTTCTCCCGCACAGGAAAGGGGCTCTTCACCCTCCCCCGGTCCGCGGAAGCCAGGAGGCCCCACCTGGCAACGGTGGGGGGTGGACGGGGGGGAACCAATTCCAGCTCCACACTGAGACCGTCGGCACGGACTGCAGAGGTCGGGGGAGGGGAGACCGACTGACGGAGGCACCGTGCCCCCAGCTCTGTGGCCCGCGGTGGACCCTCGGGAGTGGGACTCGGCCGGGCCACTGAGGCCGTGCGCCCGAGCTCGGAGGAAAACTGAAGCTGGAAACTGACCTGACACAAAAATAACATCACGTCATTTCCTCCCTTGCTGCCGAGAGGGCAGGGGAGTGGGATCGCGAGCGCCAGGAGCGGGTGGAGGCGCGTCTGGGGGAGGCTCCGAGCAGGGGAGGAGCGCCACAGGCGGAGAGTTTGAAACGCAGCCTCGGGGAAGGGCGAGGGCTCCCTCCCGCCTCTTTGGGCCCTGGGAAGGAAATGGCCCAGGAAAAAGTAGCTCAGAGTGTCTTCCGGGGGCGGGTGGGGTGTCGGGGAGCAGCGGCGCCCTTTCCTCGAACGTGCTCTGCTCTGCCCGGACCCTCCGCCTTCCCCCCTGCGGGCCCGGGGTGGGGCGGGCCGGTCGCGGTGAGGGAGGGTGGGAGAGGCTGGCGTCCGCGTGAGGCCGGGTGGGGCGTGGTGGAGACCCCGGTACTCACGGGCGTGGGCGGGTCGATCGGGCAGTGCCAGCACCGCCCCGAGCAGAAGCGAGAGGCGGCCCGGCAACTCCTCGTGCCCCCGCGAGAGCCGGGCGGGAAGCGGGGAGAAGTCCGGGCGCCGCCGGGGAGCCTCCGAAGGAGGTCGCCGGAGAAGGTGAGAGAAGAACCGCGCGACGCCGAAGAGCGGGCTAGACAGGAGGCTGAGCAGCTTCGGGGCGGCGGGCGAGTCCGGGCGCTGTGCAGGGCCGGCGGTGGGACGGGCAGGGGGAGGAGGAGGGAGAGAAACAAAACCAGAAAACCGTTACTGCCGTGTCCAGCTACTCAGATGGGTCGTTTACTACTGCATTTTGAGTCGTTGCTTTGGGGGTGCAAGAGAAAGGTCGGTGAAAGCAAAAGGAAAGGCCTACGGTAAGGTTCTTTCCCCTTCCTTCTCTCCCCCGCCCCAGCTCCGTGCTTCTCCAAGGGTCGTCTGTGGACCAGCAGCTTCACTAACACCTACGAGCTTGCTAGAAACACAGAATCTGTGGCCCTGTCCCAACCTACTGCATCAGAATCTGTGTATTAACATTCTCAGGGGGTTGCACATTAAGTGTGAGATGCAATGTATGGAAGGGCCTGCGTTCATATCTCCTGGTTTGGAAGAAAACCTTTTAGTCCACTTTTGCAACTCTTGCTCTCCCCTCCCTCCTCGGATCCTCCCTCGTCCCCAATCCTTTCCCACCTCCGGAAGTCCCTAGAGCTCTACCTGCCAGAGGCACAGAGTTGGACTAAGTGGCTGAGGATCTCAGATTCACCTCAGGCGGGGTGGAACGGGGGAGGGGAGGGTATGAAATGGGACAGACCGAGACTCAGTGCTGGGACTGTGACCTCACGTGCACATTCTGCAGGCCCCCTTTCCACACTGCATGTGTCCATCTTATTCTCTGGAACACAGGCCTCTCCACTTCCACTAGGAGACCTAAGCGATGAGGGTGGAAGTAAAAGTATTTTTTTTCTTGGAAAGTGGAGGGAAGTATTAGTTTAGAAGTCAGGAGCCCAGGGTTCTAGACCGGGCCTTGCCACTAACGTGGCGGCTAACTTTGGGAATGCCTCTTTATTCTTTGAGTTCATTTATAAAGTAGAGGCATTGAATTCAATCGCTTTTTAAGGCCACCTGTCTTGTTCAGGCCTTCATCTTTGAGGCGCTCTCAGGGCTTCTTGGAGCACTGACATTTAGTGCAGTAGTTATAAACCGGAACCTAACTCGGGCAGCCCAAACACCCCCCTCAAGCAAAACAAACAAAAAACCCCCAGTTTCATCGTGTGTGAAAAACAAGAGTGGTGGTTGCCAAGAAAAGTGAAGGTGGAGGCGGGAAGCAGCGAACGAAAGTGACGGTGGTGGGGCGCGGGAGGGGGGCGCGGGTTCCGGGGGCGCGGCGGCCGCTCTCCAGGGTTCTGAAGGCGGGAGCGGCCGCGGGCGGCCTCGTGGGCCCGGCTCGGGTCCCCCGCCGTGCAGTCACCGGGCCCGGCCTGTTTTCTGTCGGCGGTGGAAGTCTTGTGGGAAGCGATTGTCGGGAGGGAGGGAGGAAACCTAGCAACCCGTTCTCATTCATGAGGCCCTTCCTGGGAAGCCGCCGAGCGCGCTGGCTGCTGTGTCTTTCGGTGGCTTGTGTGCGCCGGGAGAGTGGCGCTCGGTTTGCATTTCCGACTGAGTTCGCTGTTTCGCTTCCCCTCATCGCCTTTTCCTGGAGAATCGGGCCCTTCTCCGGGTATTCTCATTCTCCCGGTTCTGAGGCTCCCCTCCTCCGCTTTTTGGCAAGGAGTGTTGTTTATTTTAGGGGCTGGAGCTGGGAGCCCTGGAGGCTTTTGGGGAAACGCCAACAGCTCACTGGAGGGGGGAGATGGGCGAGGTGGAAAACGCTCAGAGTCGGGGTCGCTCCCCTCGGGCAGGGGCTTGGGGTGGGGGCTCAGGCGGCGCCACGTGGGCTCTGCAGTCTCGAGGCGGCAGGACCCGGGCGGGCCGTGGCCGAGTCTGCTCCCAGCTCCCAGCCGGGGCTTGCTCCGCGCCGACGCGACGCGGGCACCATGCCGGCGGGACCCTACGCTGAGAAGTCGGGAGGGGACCGGCCGGGCCCAGCCACCACCTTCCAGACCCGCTGTCAGCACAGGCCCGAGTGAAGCCGAAAATGCCGAGAGGGAGCGCCCGGCACGCCTCTGCGACGCACGCCCAACTCCGAGGGGCCTGAGGAGCTTCGGGGGCCTTTCGAGGGTGCCACAATTTGGCGTCTCTAGCTCGCGTTTTCATATGGTTTTGTGAGAACTTGTGAACCTGAAATCTGACCCTTCTTTTTTCTCCCCTCCCCTAGCCCTTCTTCCCAAGTCGCTTGCACACCCCTTCCGCGGGCGCGCTTCATTAGGCCGTTTGCTTGGGTCCTGGGTTTGAAGACAGAGACTCTTGTGAGGGGAGCGCTGGAAATGTCCAGGCAGAATAGAAGTCCCCAAACCGATCCCAGAAAAGCCCAGCTCGGCTGCTTTGCTCCCCTGGAGACATTCGCGACTGGTCTTCCCCGCGACTTCTAGCTCGAGGCCTCCCACTCTACAGGCGCAGCGAGGCTGGCCTGGGAACCCAGCGGCTTCTCTATCTAGCGGGGTGTGAAGCCTGACAGGTGCGGGGTGCTGGAGTCCATCCATTTCCTTCCGCCCGTCTGGCAAGGACAGAGCTACAGAGTATCAATAGGCCGCGTAATTCGATCTGAGAAAGGTTATCTGAGGAAAGACCTTCCGGTGCCCGCGCTGCTGTGCTCCAGAGAGCCCTGGCTTCCTTTCAGGCCAGATTCTAGATGGAAGTCTGAGGATTTCAGTAACGTTAGCCACAAAATGGAATCACCAATGGAATCCGTACTTCTGAAAGCACTGGTCTTTAGGGATCCAGAAGACTTAGGGAATACTTCATTAGGATTGAACAGCCACTTCCCTAATTAATCATGTTGTCTGTTCACCAGTGACCAGAATGCCTTTTTTATGCAGACTAGAAAATCACCACACCCCAAGTCAACATCAATAATGTCAGCCCTTTCAAATGGAAGATTTTCATTCATTCCTAAAGAGGACTATTTCATAAAGGAAATATACAAAGCAGGATAAACTACTCCTTTACCAAAAATTTCTGAGAGCCTTTAGAGTTAAAATCACAGAATGGAATTCGAAGTTAGATTTAATTTTATGAAATGACCTATTTTCTCTTGAACTTTATTTTTAAAATTCCACTTTGCTGTGGTTTAGCTGTATTATACATTTTTATTTTCTGTTGCTCGGAGAAGTAGTTCTTACACTTGGATCTAAGAATCCAGCTGACAGTGACTGAAAACTATAATGGCAAATCTTCGCCTGCACGGGTTGTTAATTATGCACATTGGAAGGTGGCAATATAAATAAGCTAAACAAACCATGACTATTAGAATCACAGGCTAATATTAATTTGAAGCCAACTAAACTATTAATAACATGTTTCTATTAAGGCTCACTTAGAATCTCAATGTTTCTAATGAAAATACAACCATTAAAAAGACTATCTCTGCAGCTCATGATTAGTTCTGACTTTATCCATTCTTTTAATAACTTTTAAGATGTATTTATACTTAAGGCTTATGTGGAGATGTCATAAGGAGATGGTGTATAATGGAGGCAATGATAACGAGGAAGGAGGGACTGGAAAGGGAAGTGGAGTGGACCAGAAATGAGAGCTACTTAGGTGTCTTGTATGTCTGGGGGAAGGAAACACTAAGTCTCTGTCTGCCCTGCTGTTGCAGAGATAACTGGGTTCTCTGCCTCCAGTATTGGTAACC